AGCTCAACAATTATAAAACAAGAAATTCCTCAAACCCAACTTTTCTTGGCATTTAAATAGGCCTAAAAGGCAATGCAAAATCATAATAATAAATAAATTCTATAAAAGACTAACTTATGCACACAAGGTTCCATAAGGCGATTCAAGGAATGATTGTTGAATTTTAACTACAATGATGTGATTACGACTAACGATGTCGTTAAATCGCGCTTAACCTTGCCTCACAAAAGATACCCTCATTCAGAGTAATACAATTTCGGCTTCTTAAAGTTCTCATTATAAGCGTCAGCAGGATTCGACACAGGATCATGAGTATCGTGAAAGCTTGCTTAAACAGTTGTCCCTATTTAAACTCATTAATTGATCATCTGTAGGTGTTTACTTAAGACTCTCCTGTCGAAACCCCTCAAAGTCGATGATCACATTAAAGGATTGATCAGGGCTCTAAACACTTGTCATCGATTTTATTCTACAAGAGAATAATAGCCAGCTGGTGAGATTAGGTTACTGTATCATGGTAAAAATTGGCTTAGCAAAACATGGCGTCTTTGTAGCGACCGAACCATAAAAGTGTTCATATCATTCAGTGAAGTTATAATAGTGCTTGCCATAGAAACAACAAAAGTAATATGAGATGTATTCACACAATTTCGTTAAAGGACTGGTCGTAGAATTTACCCACAATGATATGAATAGAGCTGACGTTTCCATTGAATTTCACATAACCTTGCTTTCCCAAAAGTTGTTCTCATCTAGGGTGGACTGCAGTTTCGACCACATTGCCACGAATGCCCTTGGGTCACAGGAGAGATGTCGATTTCAAGAAAGGCCAGGCCTTTTTCCATATCACATTCTTTGGTTGGATTGTCGATGAAGCAAACATATTTTTGCTATAACAATCGACTGCGTTACTTATTTTTGTATGTAAGCAGAGTTTTGAGACCATCAGTAACGAAATAGGATGAATACATCTCATATTACTGATTTATGGTAGTCTCAAAATTCTACTTACATACGAAAAATAAGTAACGTAGTCGACTGTTATAGCAAAAATACGTTTACTTATTCGACATTTCCACCAAAGAATGTGATATGGGAAAAGGGCTGGCCTTCCTTGAAATTCACATCTGCCCTGTGATCCAAGGAAGCTCGTGGCAATTCGGCCGAGTGGTTAACATGTGAAGCTCACATTCTGCACTGTCACGGTTCGACTCTAATCGGGGGTGTTGATCAGACCTATGCGAGGTCGAAACTGCAGTCCACCCTTGATGAGAACAACTTTTGGGAAAGCAAGGCTATGTGAAATTCAATGGAAACATTAGCTCTACTTATATCATTATGGGAAAATTCTACTACCAGTCCTTCATCATCTTAAACGAAATAGGCTGAATACATCTCATATTACTCATTTACTGGTAGTCTCGAAACTCTACTTACATAGGAAAAATAGTCAACTCTTGGACAAAAAGGGAACGTACATCTCAGATAAAGATAAAAAAATCGTCGATATTATGAAGATAAAAGAATTTAAAACCGACCTAGCATTAAGACATTGTTTTAGCTCCACCAAAGAATTCGGATTCTCATCCCTCTCGTGAGAAGAAGGATTTGCTTTTCAACTACCAAGTCAATATTATTTTGCATTGTGCACGCAGCTGCTATGATGTAAGCTAAAGAAAATGGTTTTACTTGAATATAGGTATATTTACCCAAATGGCAACAAACTGGGAAGAGTGAAATAACGAAGAGTTCCATTGTAATACGTGTTGAACGTAATCACCGAGAACAAATTCTAAATTGTTTAAGAGGATAGGCGAAATCCGAACAAGCAATTTTCCTTCCAAACATCGAGGAGAGAAGGGTTAAGCCAAAGAAATATCACTCAAACAAAAAGAACATATAAATAGTTCTTTTCGAATATCGACAGCTACTTTTAAACTATATTTAGGTGTAATATGAGTATATGCTTAAAGGATGTGCTAATAGATATTTTTTTAAATTATGGGATAAAATACTAAAAATAAATTATCGGGTGTGGATACGCTAAAGTAACACTACTTTGAGGGCTTGATAAAACAATAAATTGTGTGAATCCGTTTGTCTTAAAATTTCATTTACAAAGTAAATCATTAGGAAAAAATGTGTCTAGAACTTAAAGATTAAAAGCACAATAAAATAGCTGTAATTGCACTTATTTTAGAAGACACAATAAAAAATAGAAATGGCCATAAAATGTCGACTTATACACGTGTTCATTTGTAAAGCAAAAATATTCGCGCGATTTAGCTACTAGTAGAAAAGCTTTTCAACCAAGATGAACATAAAAATACGTCAATGCCAAGAAGAAGTATTAAATAAGAAATAATTGACCAAAATTTGATTTTGCAGATTCAATCAAGTAGTGTAAGACCCTGCTCTAGTCGACCACATGCTTTAATGATGATGCCATTTAGTCGATGAGTCAATGACTATCTTCAAACAATTTGAGAGCTATCAAAAAAATAAAAGTGAACAAACGAATGCCAGAAAATATAAAGTCAAAAGATGAATATTTGCGCTCTGCCGTAGCAATGAAATCGTACTCAAAGGTCGATAGTTTTTGATAGCATAATTAATCATTTACGTTTAGATATAAACCGAAACAATAAAACAAAGAAATTGCCATCATTATAACACGATTTCAGACATTCGGTTTATCGGAAACAAAATATACTTGTCTTTCGGGCATAAGCTACAAAAGAGATTAAAATTACTGCCAATTAAATAGCTTAAGTAACCGATTTCGCCTACCAGTGATACCATTCATTCGTGTGATGAACAAAATCACAAGAAAAGGTTCTGATTAACGAATCAACTTCCGTTGTAGTAATTATATATGTCCTAGCAACAGACATACACAGCCAGCTGCACGCCCAGAGCATGTTTTTTTATATGTATGCTAAAAGAATTTCAAACTAACAGGGGAAAATATAGAAGCAAGAATAACACACCGCTCTATCCATGGCGTGCATAAGTGCGACTGCTTTGTCACCCACTTCGGAAACCGCTTGCTGCCGCGAGCACTCCGTTTCACTCATCACCTTAGATAGATCTTGCAGGGAACGGAATGAGCGCCCCGTGTCTAGCTGTTGAAAGCGTCGGAAACCCTCGGACCAACCGATCCAGTTTGGCAGAAAATCTAAATGGTCCAAGGATCCACTAGCAACAAAATTCTGTACATTGAGTTGAAGATGGTTAAAAAAACATTTTCCATAAAACTTTAAGTGAAAGATAAAATAGGTTTCTTGGCTTAAAAGAAATAAAATGAGGTGCATCAAAGAAGATGCCTTGCAATATAATTGTAAACATGGTAAAAATAAAACAGTAATTTTAAATTGAAATTAGCTATAGATAAAATAGGCGATAAAGAAGAAGG